TTGGGTAGCTGATCTGAAGAAATGAAATCATTCCATATTTTTATCCTAATGAAGTAGGGACCCTCAGTAGTTTGCTTAGATATTTGAAACTCACCAATAAACCTCAATCACATTTATTAAATGCTAAAAATGTATTCATTTAAAATCAAAAGTTATTGGGGTTTGAGGGTGGCATAACCCTGTGATCCCAGCACTCTGGAAGGCTGAGGCAGGGGGACTGCAAGTTCAAGCCCAGCCTGGGCAGCTTAGGAACTTAGTAAGATCCTATCTCAAAATTTAAAAAAGGGATGGGGATGTAGCTCAGTGTGAAGGCACTGGCTTCGATCCTCAGTACTTGGGGAAAAAAAGAAGTCACAAACTGCTGGCCCCTGTTGAGTCCCTAGGGCCCCTGTGTGCTAAGAAGCAGGATGTAGAATGATTAACGCCAACATGGGGCACAGGGACTCCTCCCTAGATTCCCTTATGGAAATGGACATGTGTAGCTGTTGCCCTAAAAACCCAGTTCTTTCCTGCATTGTTGAGTATAAAGTGTAGACACTCCATAAACTGAGAGCACAGAGTAAAGTAGGGGTAGATTCCAGAGGGCAGGCTGGGAATGAGGCTGGGAGACAGCTACTAGAAAGTGGCAGTGAAAGTGAGGTGTGTTCCCTAAAATCCAGCTTGGCTCCCTGCTTGGCTGCCAGATGATCTAACCTGTGCATAACCAACTGGAGCAACTTTCTCCATCTGTGTGTAATAGTAACAGCATTCATTGAGTGATTACTGTTTGCCACGCACTGTTTGTGTTCAATAGCGTGTCATTCTTGTAATCATTTTACCAGGGTTTGTTATTGGTCCCATTTCACAGAAATTTCACAGAAACTAGGCATAGTGAGGAGAAGCAAGTTGCCCTAGGTCACACAGCCAAGAAGTAGAAGTAGCTGATTTTATAGCTTGTGTTATCGAGATGCTAGTGGTAGCAACTTTGTGATGGTAGATCCTGGCTGAGACCCAGAGACAATGGGTATTATATGGCTGTTTCACAGTGGCAATAAATGGCCAGAAAGCATGGCTGACTTCTGCTATGTTACAAGTCACACTGCAGAATGACACTTGCTTGGGCATAGTTAGGCCTTCTGAGTCACAGTGCTCCACGACCAGTGTTCTGTCATTGTTTGCTGGCTAGAAGCACACTTGGTATGCAGAAGACTACGGTCGCAGAAGACTACGGTCACAGCAGATGTTCTATGTCATTATGTTTGTCATTTTACTCTTTTTCCCTTTCTGTCTCCCCCCCCCTTTTCCCTCTCTCCCTCTCTCCTCCTCTCCCTCTCTCTTTCCCTGGCCCTTTTAAAAAATTTTTATTTAGAGACACGGTCTTGCTAAGTTGCCCGGGCTGCCTCTAATTGCCTGACCCATAGTGTGCTTTTCACCTCAGGATAGATTCTCTTGATGATTTTAAATTGAACACTGCAGAATCTGACCAACTTTTTTTTTTCTGATCAACTTAATTTTTGAAAAAATTTTTTGAGGGACAAACTATAAAAAGGAAGAACTAGATAAAACAACGCAGCTTTTTATTACTGCAGAAGACAACATACAATTAATGTATGCCATGTATGCATAAAATAATTTTTAATATTGATGCTGCTTTGAGTGGGAATATTGCCTTTCTTCCAAGGGCAAATAGCTTGAAGTAAGGGCCAAGATATTTTTTTTTTCCAATTTACCATGAAAGAGAAATTTGACCTCTTTTGTTCTTGCAAAAACTCAAGTCACAAATCAATCTAAAAGGAATTAAGCTTGGTAACGTGAGGCCAGGGAACTGATGTCAGTTGTGTGGATTCCAGTAGGGAAAAAAGACCAAGGTGGACAGCACTGAACGATTGGAATGAAAGACAGAGCACTGTGAAGGGGGAGATGTGTAGATTTCTAAAAATTTAATGAGGCTGTGATTTGACTTGTAGACCCCTGTTGTTTGCTTGCTTGGGCAGAGTGGAGTATGATAATCTGTTGAAGATCATCTCCATGCCTAGATGAAATTAGGTTCTGGAAAACATTCCTTTCATGACTGAGCCTATAGTGAGCTGGCCCCGAGGTCTGTGCCTTCCCTGGACTGAACCTGCCCCTCCCAAGCAGATGTAACGGATTAGTCTAGGTCCCCATCTGCTGATAGCCACCACTGCGTCTGCATTTCTTGACCCTTATCAGAAGAGAGGAGAACTGCTTGGTTCAGGGTCTGGAAGTAGCCACAGCTTGGGCAGCCTGCACAGCATCTTTCTGGCCAGGCAGAAAAGAAATGAGCTCTGGCAGGGATTTGGGGCTTGTGACCCTTAGTGCTAGGAGAGGACACTTCTGTCTGATTTTACAGACTTCCACTTGCAGGGTGGAGATGAATGTACAGAGAAGTCCTGACCTTTCCAGAATGTGCACATCTGTGATTTCTTAAACTATTTCTGCCATGGTCAGAAGGCCAATAAATGGGTTTCAACATGTTTTCAAAATGTCTTCTACTTTTCTTGGCTCCAGTCATCTAGCAAATACTGTTTTCTCCCTTTTTAAAAAAATAAGGGGCTGGGGTTGTAGCTCAGAGGTGCAGCGCCTGCCTGCCTGGCAAGCATGAGGCCCTGAATTTGATTCCCCATACCAAAAAAAAAAAAAAAAAAGCCACAGCCTACAGTGGATCGTTGACATAAAATAAAAACAGATTTACAGCCTCTGTTCTGAAGGTGGGTTTTAAAAAAAATTTTGAGACAGGGTCTTGCTATATTGTTCAGGCTGGCTTTGAACTCACCCTGTAGCCCAGGCTGGCCTCAAGCTCATGGTGATCCCCCTGCCTCAGCCTCCTGAGTGCTGGGTATTAAAGGAAAGGACCACCATGCCACCTGGAACTGAAGGAGAATGTCTATAAAGAGAGTAAGACAGGAAAATTATAGCTAAATAGTTATTTGTGTAATTATTTGCTTAATGGTTGTATTCCTTCTAAACCATTTGTCCCATGAAGATAGGGGCTAGAACAGAGACTAGAATATACAGGAGGTACCTAAATCTTTACTGTAAAACTGATTGCAACAGTGCAGTAACTAGGTTTAATACTATTATGTTAGATCTATATCTGCTGCATGAATTGCTTTCTTCACAAATTAATTTATAAAACTTTCAACATTCAAGCAAACAACCCAAATGTTAGACATAATTGAGTGCCTATTTTAGTGGATAAATGTGGAAACATTAATGTAATGCCTGTACACGAGGTGCCAGGGAGGTTGAGGCAAGAGGATTGACAGAAGTTCAAGGCCAGCCTGGGCTACATAGTGATTTCAAGGCCAGACTGGACTCCACAATGAGATCCTGTCTCAAAAAACAAAATATAGGGCCAGGATTTAGCTCAGGGGCACCATGCCTGCCTTGCAAGTGCAAGGTCAGGAGTTAGATCCCTGGTAATAAAAAAATGAAAAAAAGAAAGAAAAAATAAAAAAGTGACAGTTTTAAAGTCTTCCAGTTTCCCCAGTAAAGCACAGAAATGACACACACCCTAATCCTTTATCCTCCCAACATTTTTGCAGGCTTTGTCAAAATGGGGGCAATATTTTTACAAACCACTGGATTGTGCTTTATTCTGATTCAAATAAGAGAAGATGGAGATCAGAAAAACAATTTTCATATTCATAATCTGAGAGACGCACCTCCAGATCAGTCTAAGAAACCTAAAGAATTAGGGATTGACATTGAAAAGCATATGTAATTGATAATATTTTTGAGTTCAAAGCCTCACATAGCACATTATCAAGTTCAAAGTATACTGTCTTCTTTTCTCAGCAATGATACTGTTATCCCCAGATAACAAAGCTGACAGGAACAAGATTAGGAAGCCACATCTGTGGGTTGGGACCTCAACCTACATCTTCTGACTCCCTCCCAGGCCTCTTTTCTGTGTTGCAGTTTTATCACACAGGGAGCCAAATATCTTATCTACACCCAGAAGTGTCCTTATGTTTTAGGAAGCATCAGAATGCCTGGGGTGTTTAATTCTTCAGGTTATTGGGAAATTGAACTCTTTGGAACCATTCCACAATCTTTTACAAAAAGGTGAAAACTGCTCTGATAGATGACGGTGGAAGGAGCCTTTGATTCAATGGGTACTTTGTAAATATAAAACAGTGGCTGGAAAATTCTATTACAGATGAACTATCTCCTCTGTTACAATGTTTGTTCTGTTTAATGCAATTTGGTTCGTGCAGAAAGGGTTGGGAGGACCTACATTCAACGCTACAGGAGTTACTGGAAACGAGATAGGAGGAGACAGACGGTCCATAGATGTGGAACAGGGGCGAACTGAGGCCTTCCGCCAGCTCCTGGCTGTACCCACGGGAAATTGAATTGAGAACTCCTTCTGCATCGTAAATCCAGGGCAGCTGGCAACCATTCAAGGGAGATTGGCGCTAACTCCAAGGGCATCTGACGCCAGGCCGGCCAATCCTTCTAAGGCGCTCTAAGGGGCTGGGCCCCAGGTGTGCTGGATTGAGATTCGGTTCCAGCTTCATGACAACACTCATTACAAGCCTTACACTTTGTTAATTTTAAAACGCGCGCATCGCAAGGAAAGGAGAGGCTCCATTATACGTTAAAAGCTGTAGGGCTGCAATTTTTCTGACACGTCCTGGGGCTGGAGGGAGAAGGCCTGATTTGGTGCGCTCATTTCTAGATCTTTTTCTCCAAGCGCACGTGCGAACTGGACCCCTGGACACGTAAAGAATTAGGGGTTGACATTGTAGAGTGGGGTATCCTGTTGTCCCAGACCCAACGTGCGTACCCAGGTTGCTGGGAGAGCCTAGAGAGGTGTGGAGGTACACGCGCTGGGGGACTGCCCCCCTAGAAATACCGAGATCGCGGACACCGCCCGGCGCGGCCGGTTCCCGCGGGCGGGGCCGTGCGGCTTCGAGCTCCGCCCACCGCGCCTAGGACGGGGCGGGCCCTAGGTCACGTGACGCCGCGCCGAGCGGCTAGCCCCGCCCGGCGGGAGGAGGCCTGGCCACGACCCGGGCCGCGAGCTGAGGAGCCGCTTGGTCGCCCGCGCGCGCCTCAGACGGCGCCCCCCGACCTGGCTCCTCGCCCGCCGGCCCCGGCTCTCGGGAAGCGGGAGTGGCTTCAAGATGGACGAAGGCGGCGGCGAGGGCGGTGGCGGTGAGTGTGGGAAGTGTGTCCGGCCCACTGGCGGCCTGAGGCGGGGGGTCGCCCGAGGAGACCGGGTCCGGGGCGGTGTCGGTGCTGACTGGCGGCCGCGCGAGGCCCGAGGCGCGCCGGTCAGGGCCGGGGCGAGGGAGTCGCCGCCCGGCGCGAGCGACAGCGGGTTCGCCCCGGGCCGGGGTCGCCGCGGAGGCTTGGGGGAGGAGGTCGTCCTTCTGGGGCGGGGGACCTTAGGGGACGACCTTTTCTGCATCCTGTAGCCGGGAGCGTCTACGCCCTCCGGAGCCCAGCCATGTGCTCTATCTACCCCTTTTAAGCTTCTGTTCTCAGGTGGCAGGAACGGGCGCGCCCGTGGGAAATGGGGAGGGCAAAGTTTTGAATCGGAGCTCCTTCGGCTTCCGGGTGGGGAAAGGAGAGGGGACGTTGATTGGAAATCATGACCCCTTTCCTGGCTTTAGGTCAGAAGTGGTCCCTGGAAATTGCTTAAACGAGAAAGGTGGGCAGCTGAAGGAGTCCCGATCTGGGCACGCGTTTTATGGAATAGCAAAGGTTACAGAGTCCTGCCCTCCCCAGAGCAAAAAAAACCCGAGTTACTGTTGCAGAGGGTGGGAGTCTAGAAGCCACAGCCAGCAGCAGAGGTGCGAGCTGATAGCAGTTGTGGAGGACACCTTTCCGAAGTGGATCATGCCCATAACCTGGCGTGGCTCAGGATGTATGTGCCTGAGGATCCGTTCCCTTTTGCTGGAAGAGTCGTGTTTATTGTAAATTATTTAATGGAATACAAATTACTGTTGTGTTACGCCGTGAAATAGGTTTTCAATAAGATAACGTACCTCTCTGTATGGAATGGGTCATCAGTTTGGAAAGCAAAGGGTTAAACCCATTTTTTTTTTTTTTTACAGAAACACCCCAAGTTGAGGCTTCCTATACTTTCTCTAATGATCTCCTTTTTGCTGACAGACGGAATCGTCAGAACCCAGTATAATAAGGGAGTGTTTAGAAGAATCTTAATTACAGGCTGCTGGAGCAGCTGCCTGTAAGAATCAGCAGTATTGAAGGCTTCAGGATGAAGTGGTTAATCAAGGTGCCTTCTAGAATTCAAGTGCTGCTCGGAGGGAAATGTTTGTGCTTAAAAAAGTGATGCCCTGGAGCTGGTGGGAAGTTGGCAGGATTCATGGCATTTGGCGAGTTCAGTTTTCATAGTTAAAGCCAGGGTAGTTCTGTGTCACCCAGTGGGCGTGTTGTTTATGAAAAAGTGCTGTGACGAAAAGGAGCCCAGTTGGAAACCCTCCTACAGCCAGGCTGTCAGTCTGGAGACACCGGATCCTGACAAATGAATTTCCTCTGGATGCCCTGCATTTTGCCTATTGCATTTTGGCATAGTAGTTTTCCCCTTGATAGAAAATAAAGGCAAACAACCGTAGTATTTAAACGTTTGACATTAAAATCAAGGAAACTAGCTGGCTTGGCGATTTTGTTTGGGAAGTGTTTCTGACTCTTGACTAAAGAAGTGTGGAGGACTTGAAGGTAAAGGGAAGTTAGTGTTCTCCAGCAGCTTATAGATCTTGAGAACCATAACAGAGGGTGAAATTATGTATCAAAAGCCTTAAAATTACTTTTTGGCTATTAATATCTCTCCTGGCAATACTGTATATCACAGGGAAATAACTGAAATGAAAAAAATGTGATCCATGGAGATGTGCATTACACTGTAATTGTAAAAAATTGGAAACAGCAATGCTCAGTGGTAGAATGGTGAGGTAAATTTGATTAGTTTATTGACTGAAAGATTTTCCAACTATTAACAATAAGCAGTTTTCACGAGGCCTTGAGTTCGATTCCTATTAACCCCCCCCCCCAAAAGTGGTGTTTTTTTGTACCGGGGATCGAACTCAGGACCTTGTACTTGCGAGGCAGGTGGTGGAAGCACTGAGCTAAATCCCCAGCCCTGAAAAAAAGTTTTGTACATTCCAGTCTGAACAGTGTAAAAACTGGTGACATTATGGTTGTTTTATTTTCTTAGCTTTTACATTTTCCATGTTTCTGGAATAAATGTTCATTCCTTTCAAATTTGAAAAAAAACCCCCACCTTATAAAAAGCATGCACATGTTTTAGATGTAATATTTAATTAACCTCTCTGGAACATTCAACAATGAACAGATATTTGATTGCCTACTGAATTGCAAGGCAGTGTGCTAGGTTCTGGAAAACAACTTTTAATCTTTATTGATTTATCAAATCTTTCTTCCTTGCATTGTGGAAGATACTTAAAAATGTTTGGCAATCTTGGAATAAGTAATTTTGAATCAAATGAAAATCTTTCACAGTTTTGGATTATGAGTCATAGTGATTGTTATATAAACTTGATGTGCTTATATTTAACTCTTATTGTTAGAGGTTTGAAGTTATACCTCTTTTTTTTAAAGATAGAGTCTCCATATGTAGTTCAGGTTGGCCTTGAACTCACTATGTAGCCCAGACTGGGCTAGAACTCACTATAATTTTCCTGCCTCTGATTCCAGAGTGCTGGGATTATAGGCATATGCACCACCACACTTGGCTCAACATACTTCTTTAAAGATAATACCATTTAGACTTTTAAAGAATGCCTTGTTTTAAATTCATGTTTTGTAAAAATAAAGTTCAATCTTTTGAGAGAAAACAATTTCAGTTGCCAGCCAATTGAAGCATAATGTTTTTGGTATACTTTTAGAGTAGAGGACAGAAGTTGCCTCTGTATAGGACAGAAATTTGAGGGAGTCAGTTTCAGTTCGGTTAGAAGGTGGGGTAAATATTCAAACAATAGCTATAGCAGAGCGTGAAAGTAATTTAATTAAAAGATTTTTTATTGTATTGGTCAGATGAAAGACTTTAAAAGCTGATTTCTCACTGTTCTTATAATTTTATTTTTTTCTTCAGGGTGTAATTTCTTCTTTCATTGTGAGATAAGGAGGATGGTGCACGCATGGCTGGGAGGCAGTTACAAAGAGGAGCGAGTAGGGGTACAAGATTATGAGAACACATTGTTCCTTATAATGTGTGCAGGGTGTAGTTAAGGTATTTTTAATTTGGTGCTTTGTTGCCTTTCAGTTTTTCTAGAACAGTTCTTGGGATATGTCTACTTGGAAGGTGACTGGCTAGTTTGGCTCATTGCCACCATCTGTCTGTCTGATGTTCCTCAATGGAACACTGATGGCAGATGAGGCGAATTAACTTTTTTTTGCTACTGGGGATTGAACTCAGGACCTTGCACTTGCGAAGCAGGCCGGTGGCACCACTGAGCTATATCCCTGGCCTGAGGTGAATTAACTTTAATTGCCCCCCCCCGTGTCCTCTTCACTCCCATCTGTGAAGAAGAGGGTTAAGTCTGTGTTCAAGTGAAATGACACTCAGCCTCACTAATAAAATGAATGTAAATTAAGACTAGGTTGAGATCCCACCGTTCACCTGTCAAACAAGCGATAACCCTAAGTTTAAAGACAGAATGTTGGCAAAGCTGCCTCAGCATTTGCTGGTACTTAATTTTTTTTTGGTACCCGAGATCGAACTCGGGCCCTTGCGCTCGCGAGGCAGGCGGCGGAACCACTGAACTAAATCCCTGGCCCTAGCATTTGCTGGTAGGAGTGTAAATTAGTCACAGTTCTCAAGAAGGTTTATATAGTTTGTGTCCTGTTGGCTCAGATCTATTTCTTGCCCTTCCATTGCAGAGGGATTCACCCCTGCAGGCAGCATTTCCCAGGCCCTTGATCAGCTTAGTTGCCTTTGGGGTTGCCTTTGGTTCTTGGGAGCTGCTGGTGGGAGACAGGATGGAAGAAGGAAGTGAGAAACCAAATAGTTTCTCTTTCCCTCATTCTGTCACAGCCAGTGTCTCTGCAAGTGCCTTTTTGGCTCCAGCTCTTGCTTCTTGATTTCAACGCCTGAGCTTTGGGAATACCTTCTCCTTTGACCCTATAACCAAGAGGTGGGAGTTACTTTTTGCTCATGGTAATCTTTGGGCTCTTACCATTTCCTGTTTGACCTTGCAGTTTTTCTTTCACATTTTTAAGCAATTCCTTTTCATAAATTCCCTCTATTTCAGGCCCTGAAAGGGATAGCTTTTTCTCTGAGTGGACCCTGATGTATACAGGAGCGTTGGGCAGTAGCTTTTGAGGTTCAAGTTAAGTCTTTTAACCCAGCAATACCAGTTCTAGGAATTTAATCTGCAGACACATTTGTACATTTGTGAGATATACAGGCACAGCATTATTCACTACTTTAGTGTGTATCAGCAGGAGACCTGTGAAATAAATCATATACCCAGATGGTGAGTGAAGTTGTGAAGTTGTAGAAAGGAATGAGGAAACTCTTTATGAATCAATACAGAAAGAGCTCCAAAATATCTTGTGAAGTCACAAAAGCAAAGTGTAGGACAATGTTCATTGTATACTATTTTTTTTTTTTTTTTTTTAAGGAAATGCTCCTGTTAAACAAGGAACAAATAGCAATGCTTACCTGTTTGGGGAGATTGACAGAATATAAGTAGGGAGGAAATTTCTTTATATGCCTTTTCATTTTTTTGGTACTGGGGATCGAACTCAGGACCTCATGCTTGCGAGGCAGACAGCGGAACCACTGAGCTAAATCCCTGCCCCTATATGCCTTTTTATTTTTATCTGAACTTTTTCCAAACTTAGAAAACAAAATTTTATGGAAAAATAGTATACTGATAAGAAAATACTCTTTTGAGGGTTATCTGTATCTTCATTCTATTCATAGGAAACTAATAACCACTGTACTTTGTAAAAATTATATATATATATTTATATATGGTGTGTGTATATGGTACTAGGAGTAGAGCAAGTGCTCTACTGCTAGCCCTAAAATTTTATTTATTTATTTATATTTTGGTACTGGGGATCATAAAATTTTATTTTTAATTGACAGTAATACTAATTGCACATATTTATAGGGTATAATATGATGTTTTATTATGTTTATTACTGTACTTTTGAGTGTT